CGGCGGGAGGGCTGTGCCCCGGCTGCTTTGTCCTCAGGCAGTGCTGGAGACAGCGGTCTGAGCGGAACGGGCTTTTAAAACCTGACTAAGAGTGCCAGCCGTTTGTCTTCGTTGACACGCCGTGAGGGGAGGAGTAAAAGGCAAGGGACGTGGATGCCTTTGGTAGAGCAGGCTAGCATACCTTTGGAAGGAGCAAGGGTAAAGCGTGTTACTGAGACAAGTGCTATCGAAATGTCGTGTTTCCACACTGCTTTAAAATAATTCCTCCTAGCTCTTGTGATTTGAGACGTGCATTATTTGCTGGCTTATTTGAAAAAGGCTCCAAAAGTATGCTATGCAGTGTGCTTGAAAGCGATATATTACTTTTTTTCCACGAGGAGGTGGAAAACTCATACTGATGAAAATTTTATTCTATTAAATGAAATGCAAAACCTATATTAACATGGAAAAGCCTGCCCAAATGCCATAATCAAAACACTCAGTGAAAAAATCAAGGCGAAAGCCAGTCCCCGAGCTTTCTCTTGCACAATTAGTTGAACAATTCACCTAGAGGGCACAATGAAAAATAAGTGGTGCTTGGTCATGTTCTGTGTAACTTTTATTCGTCATCTGTATATATGCAACTTACTGCCATGCTAGTGGTAAATGGCATCCTTCTTTCGTTGTTTGTTTTCCATGTCATTTTCATTCATTTGATTTTGAACCTCTTAAACCTGCAGATGCCAAAAGAAAAAATAAAAGATCAAAAGCTGCCTTTCTGCACTTCTGTCTTAACTGTATTTTTAACACACTGAAACTGTTAAGTATTGACTGAAGGTAAAGCATGCTCATGAAAACTGGAGAACATCCATGACTACTAGTACTATTATTTCTAGTCACATAATATCTACCCAATGGTTTAATGTTACTTTTTCTGCAAAGGTCATAAATTTTTCTGACTTTAAATCTGTGGCCAAGCATGTTTGACTTACCCTAATTGTGGTTTTTGGAAAAGCAGTGAGGTATTTTTGTCTGGGGGAAAATGCAAGAGAGACCACTAGCATGCCATAAGAGGTTTTCTATTTAGCCCTGTTCTATGTCTTCTAAGCAGTGACTAGAATATTATGTGCTGCTTTTCCATGCAAGTTAACTGATCCCAGTGTTACTAGTTAACCTTTATGATGCTCTTAATGAGTTTGCCGGGTGTGGGGACAGAGGAAAAGGTTAATTATAAAGGTGTGCAAAATATTGAGATGCTTGGACTAGCTTTAGCAAAATGCTCAAGTCTCAGACTGCAGTACTACAGCTGAGCCTTTAAAGTCTATTATATAATAGGCCATGGCTCCACTGTACAAAGTACTCTACCCCTATTGAACAATTTATAATCTAAAAGGAAAGACTAAACCAGTAAATGAAGCAAGCTGTGGAGAGATTTTTTCACAGACTGCTCTTTGTGTCTCTTCACAGACATAATAAACTACATGTTGACAATAATTGCAATTATTGCAGCTTTCCTATTTGACATCTCTCATGTTGGATGATAATTCTGAGAAGACTGGAAAGAACACTGGGAATTCATAGCAGTATTCCCCCTAGCGTGCAAGCATTGTCTCCTTGCATTTTAAAATATTTTCAATTAAAGTTTACAGCTAGAACTGTTAGGAAAAGGGCCTTCAATTTCATAACATATATTCTAAAAAGGGTGAGCATTTTTAACACCATCTTTTCTGGCCTATGGACTATAACTAATGTTTACCTTAGGTTTCCAGTTTTCATTTTGAACTTCTTAAATGATTCTCCCAGATGTGTACTTCTTTTTTCTGAGCTATCAGCAAAAGACAGACAGCTGTTTATAGACATATGGTGGAGATAGATCTATATATAGTTTTTGTTTCTGCCTTAATATTTGTGTTAGGGATGACAAAACGTTTAGGAATCTATTGGAGTGTCTCTTAGCATGTTCTTTGTGGCTTCTATGGGAGATGGATTTAGCAAAGCAATGCCAGAGGTGGTTCCTTACACACAGTCCCAACCTGTCTGCTTCCTGGTTTTCAGTTTTGGATGGCACACTGGGACTTGCCAAGAAAAAGCCGGCTAAAATGTAATCTGACTGGAAGAGGGATCTTGTTTGTAATATAGGGGGAAATCTTGATGGTAAATTCAGGAAGTTCTTTATCTCCTGGAATTTTTCCTGGAATTTTAGATACTAGCAAAATGTGTTTTTTAGCTCAGCTGTTTTTTTCTGGACTTTGCTATAGCTATCCATACGTTTCAGTGCGACCGTATTCCAAGAACTGTACTACTTCCCCATTCTCCTTAGGTTCACTTCAGTGCCATAATTTTGATAAGTAACCCCTTTTCCCATCAAACAAAAAAAAGTAGCTCATTGACTTCAGTGGGCCTTTTCATAGGCTTGCAGACAGGAACAAGTTTTACTGCTTGTCAGAAAGTGTCAAAAGCTGTAAAATTTCCTGTTGCCTAATAGGTGGAGACTTCCTACCCTTCTGTAATCCTGTTGTGACTACTGAAATCA